TCAAGTGTATCATGAAGTTATATTTAGAAAGAATAAACCAGTTTTATTAAGTAAGGACTTGTGTCGCTAAAGTTTCGTCGGAACGAAGTTACGGAAAGTTAATTAACAAACGGAGACGTAACAATATGAAGAACTTGAGACAACAGGAGCCTTAAGGGAAGCAAATAATAAAATCAGAATAGGTGAAACTTTACATCTAAAGAAGTTGTCATTATTGACAGTTTTATATTTTACCTTTAAAGAAAACTTAGTGATATTTAACAAAATAAATTTCAACTTCTTCACAATTAAATTTGTATTGGAGCAAAAAGAAACTACATAATGAAATACTCTATTAATAAATCACCGATTCCATTAAATTTTGCAAGTTACTGCTATATTTATACCATCTTACTAGTACGTAATGTAATTTATAAATGAACTAATACACAAAAAATGTAGCATAATAAAAAGCCTAAAACTCTAAATTTTAACATCACTTTCAAAGAAAATTATACCAAATACTATTTACATTTGTACTGTCAAAGAAGTAAAAAACTTGGCAATTCTAATTACAAAACAAAATAATATGAAAAAGTAAAAATTACAGTAGATAAAAATATACCACACTTGGAGTATGTCCTGATCCATCTAGAACAACCATCAACACAATAATTACTTGATATGCCATCATCAAACATATTAACACCTATCTTCACCATAAATATTTTGGCGAAAGTCAGACTCAAATGTACGCATAATGAATAATGTAAATGTTGTCAATTAGCAACCACTCTTTCTTGACACTTAAAGTACAACCTTGTTTTTTATATATTGTTTGTTATTTGCACAGCTCGCATGCTACATCATCTTGAGTAGTTTAATGTTGTTGCTTGTTATACATTGAACATAAAGAACTGACCAAAAACCATTAGATGAAATTACCCATTTTCTCTGTGTGATACACAAGATATTCCACACTTGGTAACTGCCTTAAATTTTACGACATTTTGGGAACATTTAGTATTTTTAATTCAAAAAGTATCTATGATGCTGTCCTTTTTTGCAGGTATATAATAAACACAGAAAGGAAATAAATATTTTTAAAGATAAAAACTATGCGAATTGTTTGTTATGGGCAATACTGTATACGTTGTCTCTAACTTAAGTTAAACACATTCTCGAAATAATCATTTCCAATTATGTGCTTATATAATAATTACCTTTTTACATAAGTATGCACCAAGCTCTAAAGTATTCAATACGAATATTCACTCATTGTAATATTTCTTTTTTGTTTTCTGGTTTAGTATATTTCACATACACCACAAGATGTCGCTTACTCTGTCAAAATAAGTGTTATTTTACATTATCTCTATATTATGAGAAAAACCTTTGTCACCAATAAATGTTAACTAACTTTGGAATAAATTTAATTAAACACTACAATACTAAGTCGTTTTATATGGCTTTATGAATATTTTGTAGCTTAAACTAAAAATGTAAGCGCATTGATTCTCAAACAACAATGTTACAATGAAAGTTGCATTGTTGAACAGTGCTGCACAGCCATAGGCTGAGAACAATCGACATTAGAAGATATATATAATTCCATGAGCAGAACGAGACGTAGAACATCGTTTTTATAAAATGCAATTAAGTCTCAGTAATCGCATGTTTAATACTAGTTTAAAACCTGATTTATATGCATGTAGATATAAAGGGGAAAAAATAATCGTTTATCCCAAATTGCACACGAAATTAATTATACAAAAATTTCACTGATAAGGAATTTTCTAAAATATAAAAGGGAGCATAACCTTCTGAAACTGAATATTCAGAAAATGCTGAGTTGGGATCACGAGAAGTAATTTACATTCCCATTCAAAAAAAAAATAAAATAAAATAAAATAAATAATATATCAACAACTTAAGAAAAAAAGAGAAATACATTTATATTGTGAGAATTTTCCTTATATGTGTATGTTGCGTAAAGGTCAGTTTCGAAGCTCCTGAATAATTACACACATACCGAATGGAAATTAATCAGTTTCTCGAAATAATATGGAATGTATCATAATTACCGCAGTATACTAATTATACCAAAACTTATATATATATATATATATATATATGCATTAATAATTGATAATATGATAATTCATTTCTTGCCTCGATTTCGTTTTTTGGCAAAACAAAAACTTAAGTTTGTATGAATGATAACTTTATACTACATCACGAATTGACTATAAAACGAGGTGTATGCGAGGGTAGCCGACTTTCATATATATTGTATCTTAGAAAGTTATCGTAGCAAAATGTGTAATAAAATTAAATTGAGATAGGTTTAATGTATCTTTTCCTAACTACAAGAAAAATGTTGCTCCAAAAATCAAAACTGGTGAAATGAAATATTTCATTGAGTCTTTCCTTAAATACGCTGATAACAAAACATTCATTTAACCTTTTGATCCCCAGGTCAGGCCAATAACAATTCAGGCCCACAGTCTGGTAAATATAAGTTTATCAATATGTTAATGAACACGTGATTTAATTAACAGGAAAATTCAGAGATAGACGGTAATGATTTTTCGACTGACATTCCAGTGAGAAAGAAAGCAGTGACAACGTAGTTTTTAAACTGTCTTTTATTCGATCTGCGTGGTATGTGTCATCAAGTCGACCCAGAAACCAAACATTCCGATCATTACTCAATGCTTTATACGACATTACTTTCTCTACACACGATCCCACTGACACGTACTATATACGTTTAACGCGTGTTTATCTGTAGTAACCAAAACCACGATAATGTTTATGTTAACGTCATGATCCGTATACGATACGAATACCACGCATACAGCATCACATTTCAGTTCTGGTATATCTACGTTACTGCAAGACTTTAATTCTACAATCAATATTTTATGTAGTTACATCAAGGCATCATTGGTTTTGCTCTATAGGAAGGATTAGATCCAGTAGTTGTAATGTGAAGCTGGTTAGAATCTGACTATGGGACACTACACATCTTATTTTGTGTTGAAATATAATCGTTATTAGCGGTAAGACTAAAGTGAATCATGATAAACTTATATTGTTCTCAGAAAGAAAGAAAAAACAGCTTGTGAACAAGATCGTACAATTTGTTTTCAGGACAATACATAAACTACGGATACTTAATATAATCATTGCATTACAATAAGAACTTCGACAATACCAGTCAATGCAGTACGTTTAGAACTTTAACACTACATACAGGTCAATGCATTAAGCTCGGAACTACAATAGTGCAATACAAGTCAATGCAGTACGATTCGAACGTCAACATTACGATACACTTGTACAAATAAAAGTGTTCCATAACTGAGTGTTCTAAAATAAAGTGTAATAAAGTGTTCTGAGTGTTATCCTACAATAACTATTTTCATAATAAGATTTATTCTAATAATAAAGTGCAGTAACAGCTATTTTATAATAATAGATTTAATCAGGGGCGGAT